CCCCAAAACCCCAAAACCCCAAAACCCCATCAATCCCTACCAGAAATCATTTTTCTTCGAAATAAATGACTTAAAAAATAACTATTTTTATTCAGAATTAATATCAAGTTAAGATTGATTGTCAGTAACTAATAATTTTAATGGAGGATTCCTAGTTGATACATTTGAATTAAGTTTAAAATTAAAACCAAGATTGCTTGGATTCTACTGGCTTACCCTACTTTAATAAATAAATAAGATAGAATTACGTTACTCTAGAGCAGGACAGCAATGATATAAAAGCTAATTCATCTGGGATTGATTTCTTAGAAATAAAAAAATCACCCACAAAACGCAATTAATTCGCTTAAATTTACGATTAAAAAGAAGAGGATAATAAGGACAATTAATAAAGTGATTAATATAGCTTTAATGAGTCACAAAGAGTTTAACTGATGGATGATAGAATCGACTTTTTTGAGAGTAGCTTGATCGAGAGGCCATTTGCTCAACCAACTATAATTTCATAGAAGAATAAGTAAAAAAATATTAATAGAAAGAGTAAAATCTCAGCTCGTGGTTAGGGTACAAATGCCTAGAGTAAAAAGAGTTATAAGGACTGTGCCAAGAACTCGATAGAACAATAGAAAGACAGTCTAAATATAGAAGTTAGCAAACTCAGTAGCAGAGGGAATCCCTCACCACGGATGACAATTAATCAAATGGATAACATTGAAATGATGCTCTAAAACACTCAGGAAATGATAAAACGCAGAAGTTTATATCATTAAAGAGATTAGTCATTTAATATGAGAGGAGATGGTGCTAGTTCACATTAGAGCTCAGCAAACTTGGATAAGATAACCAGACATTAGAACATCATCACAGAGGATATTAATAGAGGGATGATAAAGCCTGTTGTTCTTAAAGACATTGACTGAATGAACTCACCAATAAGTTCTACTAGATTTAAAATACCACCATAATCACCTATGCTATTATCTAAAAACAAATCCCCCATTCTAGCTTAAGTGAAAAGCTAGTCTGCAGACTATGATCATTAATAAGATGGAAGAAATGTATCATAAGCATTTAGCTTTAAAGCACTTATTCACAATGTAAATCAGTTGAAATTATCAAACACTAATTTGCTCAAAGAAGAGGATACTACTGCAAAGGATCCTTAATTATCTTCCTCAGATGAAAAAATAAATTAAAATGCTGATTAAAACGGTAAAACTACTAAAATAATCCCAAAATTATCATCATCCTTAGATTTTTAAATCAAATCTCATAAAACCGCAAAGAAAAAATTGCTGAGATCCGATTTCATGACAACAGATTTTCAGTCTAAAAGCAGTATGAGAGATACTATTTAGTCTTACATGATATACCCTGAAAATAGCCACAAAAATAAATGGGATCTTTTTGTAACATTGTAAGCATTATCTTTTATTTTAATTTAAGATTGCTAGACTTCTGCTATTTACATGCTGTATGACTCCCTATAACATTGCTTTTTCAAGTGATGAAGCAGAGCAATAATTGACTTGGACTCTAGTTGAATCGTTTATAGATTTTTGTTTCTTAATAGACATTATTTTGAACTTTTTTACTGCATTCTATGATGAAGAGTTTCTACTTATCGAGGAAAGAAAGGTAAACTAAAATTACAAATATTTGATCATTCTTTAGTTGATTGCTCGTACATATCTCTCAGGTTGGTTTATTCCAGATATCATTTCTATTGTTCCATTTGATCAGATTTTTTCTTCTGGGTAGTTTAACAGATTAGCCAGATTCGCTAGAATCGGAAAACTTTACAAATTGGTAAAAATGGCAAGACTTACAAGAATGCTAAAAATAGTTAAAGAGAGGAAAAAACTTGTAAAATATCTTAATGAAGTCCTTAAAATTGGTATTGGATTTGAAAGATTGCTCTTTCTTATGCTGATTTTTATTGTACTTTGCCACATTTTTGCTTGTCTTTGGTAAGATAAACAGTATTGATTAGCTTTTATAGGATATTTGTTGGTTTATTTGATGATACTAAGAACAATTGGATATATCAAAAAGAGTACTAGGATTATAAGAATTTCTAGCTATATATAACCTCTTTTTACTTTACAGTTACTACAATAGTAACTGTAGGCTACGGAGATATTACTGCTTAAAACACAGGAGAAAGGATAATTTGTATTTTACTCATGATTATTGGTGTGATAGCTTTTTCTTTTGCCACTGGTTCTTTATCTTCTATTATCTCAAACTACGATTCATCTTAAGCTAAGCTTAAGGAAAAGATAGCCACATTAAATGATATTAGAGAATAATACTAGATAGGACCTAAATTATTTGATGAGTTGAGAAAGGCGATCAAATATGATCACAGTAAAAATTATAATGACGTTATTTAGTTTATGGAGGAATTACCTCACAAGCTTAAAATTGATCTAGCTATGGAGATTCATAGGGATATTTATCAAAATGTAGATTTTTTCAAAGCAAGAGACAGTCAATTCATATTTTGGGTAGGACCGCTTCTAAAGCCATTACTTTTCTCAGAATAGAAGTACATATACAGAGAGGGCGATGAAATTAAAGAGAGTAAGTTAGTATAATTTAAGCTAACATTTTTTTAGTTTATTTTATGACAAATGGAACAGCTGGATTCGTTCTTCCGATCTACAATAATGCCGTTTATATCTAAGTTGAAAAAGGGGATGAATTTGGACTGACTGATTTAGTCTATGACAAAGAATTAGTTGAATATAAGCTTCAAAGCAGGAAGAAGTTGAAAGGAGGAAAAAAAGCTCTCCAAAGACTGTTTACTGTTTAGGCATTAAATAGTTGTGAAGTGCTGATGATGTCAATTTAAGACTTGGACAAAATGAAAGTAGAATATCCCGATATCTTTGATGAATTATTCTTGAAGCAGCTTAAACTCCTATCTAAGTGCTTAAGATTAAAAGATGAGGCAATTGAAGAACTTCAGAGAAAGGAATAAGAAGAAAAAGAAAGGAAACTTAGGGACATATCTCAAAAAGCTTTGGAAACAATCTCAGAATAAAAGCCAACTCCTAACAGCCCAATGGCTGCACTTGGGTTGGGAGTTACACAAATGATATCAAAATCCTCTAATAAGTTCTTGAATAAATTTGCTAAAAATTTCATGAGCTTGAAGAAAATTGATCAGGAGCTTATCAACTCAGAGGATCAGAATTAAAAAAAGGAAGACTCTACTTAAAAAGAGAGCGAGAAAAAAGATAGTGAAAAAATTAATGAGCAAATAAATGAAAAGGAAAATAAAGATAAAAATGAGAATGATTCATCATTTTCCTCTAGTGAAGATGAAAAGTCTCAAAAGGCTCCTTAATATGATGAAAAGTCAAAGTTCTTTTTGGGGAAATTCAAGCAAAACTTTGGAAAGTATTTTTAGTCTTATCAAAGGCATAGTATTAGCGAGATGTAGGGAATCTCAAACAACTTAAGCCAATCTCTTAACGTGTCCTTTGGTGCTAATAACGAACTAAAACCTAAATCAGATTATTAATTACAAGAAATGAATGCAAGAATTTCTAACTTAGAAAAGATGTTTGAGAAAATGATGAAGACTATGGACTAGATTAACCAAAAAATCTCGAATTAAGATTGAGAAAATATTCAAAACATTGTTAACTTGTTTATAGCAACTATTTGCTACTTTAAAACTTTTATTAGTAGATTAATATGATATTTTCATGCATATAAAAGAATAGCGTGAAATGTATAATTACATAATTTGCTTAATTATAACATATTGCCTAACTTAGTAAAGTGGGGTTTTGGGGTTTTGGGGTTTTGGGGTTTTGGGG